TGTTGCTGTTGCTGTTGTTGTTGCATACTCAACGAGTTCATCATTGCTTGCATCTGCTGGATTTGCTGTGCCTGTGCATTCACAATTGCCTGATAATTATTAGCCCCACCAGCATTAGCATTACTATGAACATGAGCAGCAGAATGTGCTTGCGGATGATTCTGATTCTGCGCCTGCACCGCCGCATGTTGTATCTTCGTCAACGCCCCAATGATCGCATGATAATTTACCCCAGGAGTCGGACTTGTCTGCTGCTGCTGCCCGATCGAATTAATGATTCCCTGATAATCAGTCCCCGGAACTCCCTGGAACGCAGCTTGGAACTGGGACATGTCCACACCAATCGATGTGACATCGAGGTTTGCGAGGCTGGAATTCAGTATATCCAAGGAACCATTATCGAATAAACCTCCACCAGAAAGACCGGACAGGAGAGTAGGGTTTGTTCCAAGGACACTGCCGATGGCTAAACGCCCCGCGTAACGGAGAGCAGCTCGACCTGCGACACGGCCTGCGGCTTTACCGAAATTGGCAAGCATGTTGCCAGTATTTGATAAAGTAGCGGAGGTTGAGCCGAAAGAAAAGGAGGTGGAGTGTGGTCGAGGTGGTCGGGGGTTATGAGTTATGGAAGCCATCGGGAGAGTGTAGGATGGGTGTTGGGGAGGACGTTGGGGCGGGAGCTGTGGAGGGCGTTGAGGTAAAGAAGGAGGGGAAGATGGCTGTGGAACAGAGCCAGGGGAATATCCAGTAGGAGAAACTGTACTTAGGCTTGATATAAGTGCAGGGGTAGAAGGAAATTGAGCTGAACTTTGGGCGTTCGCGACAGGCGATGTGGAATACATCGGAGGACTTGTCGTAAACTGCAGCGCATGAGCTGGAAAAGTCGAAGTTGCAGAATGTGGTGGTGGCGGTGATGGATGAGTCTGGGATGAGATAGAAGACTGTGGTCCATGTCCTAATGATACAGACGAGCTATGCATCGAAGCAACAACAGCGCCAGAAGGGGGCACCTGCGGGAGCGGATTATTCACAGATACATGCGAATTGACTTGGGGTGGAGGACTAGGTAGATCTGCCATCGACCCTGTCTGAGGAGCATTGAAATTCCCATTTCCACTTTGGTTTTGCACATGCACATTGGGGTTCTGTGTCACAAAATGCCGGGACAGTGTTGACGTCGTTGGAAGATTGGCTGTGGGTGGAGGAGGATTCACTGTATTACTACTATTATTATTGCTCGATTTCCCACTTGTGCCTACAGTTAAAGGAGGACGAGCAGGTACAGAAGGCGCTCCGGGTGCATCAGCAATCGAAGCCGCAGGTGACTGAATACCAGAAACACCTATCTGTCCCTGCATGGCAGTATTCGACGTCGCTGCAGATTGTGATGCAGGACTGTTAACGACAGCAGAGTGTGAATTCATCGACGCTGTGGTTGGATGTGGATTCGAAAGCCCTATAGGACCTATATCGATTGATTAATATCCACATACACCACGAAAAATCAACGAACCTGAAGTCTGACTCGGAGGACGTGCTATCAGAGCAACACTCGGTACCGTCGTGGGCTTGGGTTTGAAAATAGACCCTGGTCTACCAACACCACCAGAAGGATTGTAATGCTCGATCTTCTGCGATTGCGGTCGAACTACATTATTATGTAGTAATTGTTGCGACTGAGGACGCGAAGGAAGCTGCGGCCGTCCTCCAGCCACCGTAGACGCTGCAGACGACGACTGTGAATGTACTGTGCTCAATAACGAAACGCTCGATGTCGCGGCTGCGGCGGAATAGTTCATACTCCCCGCATGATACGACAACCTGCCACTTTGTGGGCGATGCTGCTGAATCGGTTGACTTTGGGATTGCAGATTCTGTAACACACCAGTCTTATAGAACGAGTTCGCGACAGCTGCATTGGGTCTATTATTCAAAGTATTAGTATTGTTGTAGGCTTCTGCAGAGACAGCAGCCAGGGAAACTGTCGGGGGAACGTGGCTATGAGAGTCCATGAGGAGATGCATGTTCGGGGATGATGTAGAGATGCGACCACCGGATGGTCCTCCGGTCGCGTTTGTCGTTGATGGACGTGAAGAAAAGGCGCTCGCGTACAGCCTTTGCGCTAGGGTCAGACCTTCGTGGCCAGCGGTAGCGGACGCCGAAGTGGGGGCGTTGGAAGTAGACACAGGCACATTAGGAGTAGGAGTAGGAGGTAAGTTGGTCGATGTCACTGGAGCTGAATCAGGCTGAAGACTAGGAGGATGAAGAGGGAGAGAAGGGGAAGACACGCCGACGGGTGTCTGCGATGGACGATCGACCAAATTCATTCCCGGGGCATGAGCGTGAGGATTCTGTCCAGTGTGAATAGGAGGATAGGCATTATTGACTGCCTGTGCCTGTAATGGATGACTAACTAAATTCATAACCGTAGAGTCCGGACGAGGCGCTGGCAGGGAGTTGACATTTACTGCATGGATTGCATTGCTCGTATGAGGGGTAGAAGGAAAGGGTTGTGGATTAATTTCTGGCGACAATGGGAAAAATGACGGTGGTCCAACCGTCTGAGTTACACGCAGACTGGGAGAAGAAGCAGAAGAAGGTGGCGGCGGAGGAGTAGGAGTAGGATCAGAAGCAGGAGGGGGAGAACTCAGAAAAGAAGGATTATGGTATTCCGGAGGCGACACCACGTTAGCTGTGGTAGCTCCCTCTAGTGAACTACTACTCCCAGACCCAGGCACAGGAACAACGACAGCAGAAGGTGTACTATGCTCATCTGACGATTCAGAATAGATTGAATACTGTGGAGGCGATGATGGATCGACAGACGATGTCGAATCGGGCGGCAAGTGACTTGATGGCTGGAGCCCTGAGTTCGAGGTAGAAGGAGCCGGAGCTGTCGAGGGCCCAGAGGAGGCAGATGCAACTGGTTCTTCGTTATTATTGAACAGGATGGGATTTTTTCGATCAGGTTTCCAATCGGATTTTTCATTGTGCCCTTGCAACTTTGACGGCGACGATGAACCTTGCTGCACATAGGAATTCGAAGAAGAACTCGGTCCTGACTCATTCCGATTACTTTCCGCGTAATATTCAGTCGAAGGATGGAAGTATGAAATCCGAGCAGGGACAACGTTGGTTTGCACATAATACCTAGACAAAATACAATTATGTAGAGCCCGTGGTACGTGTTCTACAAGTACGAACCAAGTATCTTTCCTGAAGACAAAAAATCGTTTTTTGAGCACGCAGATCAAGTTGATTCAACACAATTAAAAGAGGCAACTTACTGTGCATTGTATCCTTCCGTCCATCCAGGCGGCAAAACTCTACGATCCGGATTGACGGGAGGGGCGCTCTGCATTGAGGTCACAGTTAGAGGTAGATTGAAGGCTGATGTCCAGAATTTGAAATCCGTAGACCTCTCATATAGGTTTTGCAGTTATCCATAGCCGACGTTGTGATGTAGATGTACATTAAACCCAAAAAGGCACGGAAGGATCTGTCAACAGATAAGTAGACATGATGGCTCATGATGGACGTTTGTGACAAGAGACATTTCAGCGCCAGGCGCCCCAACGCGTTGAAGCTTATTTACAAGGCATGCCAGGAATATCAACCGGAAAGTACACGGAATGAATGTACCAAATAGTATAGGACTGAAGTTGGAAGTATGTCGCGGAAAGCACGGTTAGTACAGTTTCAGAACCTTTCAATGGGAGTCACCAGGTTCAATATAACGATCTACAGGTACAACGTGAAAAAATGATTCAGTCATACGAGCAGGATACGAGTGCCAAGGTTCTTTGAGGCAATTTCCGACTACTTACTCTCCAATTACTGACAGGCAAGGCACTGTACGAGGGCACAAGCTGTGCACAATTATCATTTCGGTTGGGCGCAGGAGCGATGAGTCGCTATTTGAATGGTACGTTTGTAGACGTTGGGCCTTGTTGGGCAGGGTTGAGAATAAAATGCAGAATTGAATGATTTCGAGCTTGGTCCTGAATCTTTACATGCAAGTGCTTGGGCTCATAGTAAATCGTAATCGTCCAGCTGTGGAAAAAAGATTCAGAATCAAGGGAACAACAGATAAAAACGTGGATTTTGAGTAATACGAGGGGTATCCGATAGTTTTATCGACATGTAGAAGGGGTCAAAGGACGAGGAAAGCGAGTAAACAAGGTGTTCACGAACCTCGTCGTTGTATGTCATGATTGTTCTCTTCAACTTGGATGTATCGACCCAGGTGACAAAGTCTTCCATGCGTCTGTAGGAAGAAGAAAAAATAAACCCAAAAGCTGAACCCCTCACCAAACAAGAAACCTACCTGGTAACCAGATACGCTGGATCCGTAATCGCATCAGGTCCAACCCTTACATGCCCTTGCTCAATAAATTTGGTCGCTGCACTGACCGTCTCAGCCATCTTCAACCCCGCACACATAACCACCGCCAGTCTTCTTCTGCAAAATGCCGACACGGTAAGCTTGTTCTGTACATCAGATAGTTTTGCAGAAGAGTTGAGGACACCCATGTCGTATAATTTTGAGAGGATTTGGTTTTCGGTTCTTGATCGGAAGGGGTCTTGAGGTGGGAGAAGGGAGACGCGGTGGGCAAGGGAGCGGAGGTGGCCTATGAGGGTATTGTATCTGTGTTGCGTGAAGAATGAGTTATACTGAAGGATATAAAGAAGAAATCACGCACTTGTGATAATCCTCTCTGTTCTGAATGTGATATCTTCTCATCACTTTCACTTCACGTAAATTGGCATCTTGTTTCCACTAACTGAATCAAATGGTGAGTTGGTGGGGGAAGAACAAGGCAACGTACGTTTAGAAAGTCAACCTTTTTGAGGAGCTTTTGTTCGTGATATTTGAGTTTTCTGACCATGTTGAGCTGTAGGATTTGAAAGGAAAACAGTTGCGTTGTTCAAGCTGTGTAGATTATGTAAGTAAGGAACGAGAAGTCCCTTCTCAAAGAATACGAAAAATAAAGCTACATGGCCGCCTGGCGAAATGGCATCGCGTCTGACTACGATTATGTGCTTATCAGGAGATTGCAGGTTCGACCCCTGCGGTGGTCATTGCTTTCTTTTTGTTATGTACCGTCATTCTTCTTCCGTTGAAGCGTTTCCTGCTAATCAGTCCCTTCCTCTAAATCCAAACTCTACTTGCAGTACAAGTTACAAATTTGTGTATGAGATGTGGATGGAGACCTACGAAAACCAAACCTCGGGGCAATCATCGCTATCGTCATGATCTTTCACAACAAGTGCATCCCTCTACAATAAAACCTCCAGCTTGAGTGTATACATATACAATGATAACCTACAGTATCTCCTCTTGAGACAACGTTAACATACTTATTTATAATCATCATCATGCCAATGCACCCGTTGTTTTTCCCCCTACTTGAACCCTCTCCCAATGAAGCACCCCAGCCAATGCAAACCACACAATAGTCTGCGCAGTAGCCGCATAACAAGAAACAATCGCTACAGCCGCAATCGCGATCTCACTCCACGCAATCGCAGCGAGGAGAATTATACTGGTGATTGAAGTGAGGAACCAGCATATTCCCAGAAAATACGCTATGATGAGAGAAGGGAGCGAGGAGTAAGCGCTGTGCCCTACCACAGTGGTGGGAGGAAGGTTGTTAGGTAGATCACCGGTACTCCCAAGGCGCATGTGGTTTCTCGGGGCTTTAATACTGCTACTAGTATTCCCCTTATGCTCAATTATGAGTATGGTGAGCAAGTAGATGAGGGTCACAGAGGAAATGCATGGGCCGAGGAAGAAGCTAGTGACTCCGAGTTTGGATATAAGTGAAAAGACAAAGGTGATGATTGAGAGGACGATAGATAGCCATGTCAGGATGCGGAGGGTTTTGGGGAGAGCATTGATCACGAACATCCTAGGACCTGTGTTTTAATATCGAGGGGTCGGAAGCTCCTTCTTATACTTCGAGGAGTCTGCACTTTGAGGTTGAGTTGACAGCTTTGGTTTTATATTCCGTCGTTGCAAAGTGTTTGATCTTGGGTTCGAAGTCTCCACTATGATCGAAGGAGCCCATCCGGAATGAATGTTATGGTGGGCTGTGGTACATAGCCCATAGGTCAGCAGGTGTGAGGATGTGAGAAGAAGTCATTCACTTATCATGCCAAGAAATATGGAATATGGGTAAAACTCGCCGCCCAGCACTTTTAAGCATGCTCCTGGATAAAATCAAAGTTCACGAACAGTTTGTGTAGTGACTCAGTGCGCTTTAAACTGAGTGTACTTTCTTCAAGTTTTCCGAAGATTTCTACGCACGTCACGGTTTCATGATTGTTTTGAAAGGTAAATGGACACCGTGATTAACCAAGCGGGAAAGGTTGAATGAGGCTCTACGTAGCACTGACCGTTTTACAATTCACAGGCGAAGTTGTACATAACGATCCCGGCGAAGGTTCCCGCTCGAAACTCGTGTCTGTACGTATAAATCCTGTGTATGTATGATCTTGTAGGATCTGGATGTCAAAAATGAGCGTCTGAGCAGGGAACAAAACAGAACGCCGATTGAATATAGTGAGTACCCTCAGACAGAGCGCGATCAGTACGGTTTCACCAGACTTCAGCGAAGCACATTAGCAGCGGTCGAGTGTCCTTGGAGCCATTGACATCTGACATCTGCCTCTCGTTTCCCTCTAATAGCGTCGACCTCAACATTGAATATGCATGCTCTTCCCGGGGGTGGTGGCTAGTCAGGTCGAGCTCGGGTTGGGTTGGATGGTGCAGGTAGACACACCGTATGGGGGATCGAGCGCTGAGGCGCGCTTATATGTGTCTTTGCAGCGCTGCGTTATACACGGATTGTGGGGTCGTCATCCCCTCAAACCCACCGTTTTTAAACTGGATCAGGACCGTCGACAAGGAAGACAAATCCATACGGAAACGTCCGCGTGCAACCGAAAACCCCCCTTGTGTAAGTGTCAAGTTGTCAAAAAATGATTGCCTCTTGGCTTGATCTTCGAGACCTGCGCCTTGCATAGATAGTTGTTGTCAGTTCATACACGATCAGACTCTGCAATTATCAAGATTAAATATGAGTATATCCTCGGCCCCAGTTGCTACAAGATCGTCCATTATTTGAGCGACTTTCTTCTTCTCGACCATACTACTGACAGCCACCCAGCCGTCTGCTTCCAATGGGCTGATAGTCGGTGCCCTGCGCCCTGGAGTGATTGCGATAGCTGAAGGAAGTCGGTTTCGAGCAACGTTATATTGACATATGGCATATTTGCTGGCAGCGACGACACCCTTGATTCGATTGGTGATGAGGTCGATAAGGCTAGCATGTGCTTGGTGTTTCGGGATTCGGGATCTGATGAGAACAGCTTCTGTTTCTAATACGGTGCCGATCGCGTGAAGACCAGCTGCACGCATGGTGTCTCCGGACTCTGAATACATGGATTCAGAAAGCAGATAAAGGACTAGGACGTCACTAGTCGCTCACCGACCAAGTCAACTGTGAAAGCAATGGTCAGACTCCAATTATGGAGATAGAGTACTAAGAAACTCACCAATGCCATCAGCAAGCCCTAACGCACATGCAGCTTCGACACTACCGCCAACATAATCGATCTTCGTACGTCTCTCGCCTGAGAGTTGAAAAATATCGTCCAGTTTACCAAAATACTCCCCTGAGAGCACTTCAAAACTTGTGACAACCCTTTTACCGACAAGATCTTCAACAGTCTTTATTGACCCAGCTTCTGGGACTTGGACTTGCAGTGCACACTTGCCAAACCCTAGCCGGAGCTCTTCCGTAACGTGCTCGAGCATTTGCGATTCGAGGATTACATCATGTCCTGTGATACCGAGGTCGACATTGCCCTTGCCGACGAAACTTGGGATATCGGATGCAGGAAGGAAGACCCTGATATATATGATAATCAGTAGTTGTTTAAAAGAAAGTGCAGTTGGGAGCTGTACAGCGCGATTGGGTGATTAAGAACAAGACAGACGTCTAATCGAGCGTGTCGTCGAAACTGAATATCCGCACCTAAACAGGGCATGATTGGGTTTTGAAGAAAGGAGAATCAAGATAGAGGAATCACCAGCAAGAATCGATAAGCATTTTTCATACAGTCTCCCTTGTTGAAATCGTTCGTTAATCTAATTGGGATTTACTTTCCAAGGCGATCCAAGATACCTTTTTTGGGAATTGCAAACAGTAAACGTCCGTCAAGAGAATCCGCGTCTAATTGAAAAGATGGGTAAATATATAGAGTCAATTGCTAGGTCCATACTCATGAATGAATGTTGTTGTGGAATTTGGGTGTACGGGGAAGAAGGGATGAAGTTATTAGGTAATGCATATGGCGGAGTCACAAAGCAAGTCTTGAGGCGCGCGAAGCTTGGGGAAGAAGACGATCATTGAGAAGACGCGAGATTGAATGCACGAGAGACCAAAAAAGTGTATATGCAGTAAGTATTCGAGTCACAGAGAAGAGCAATGTAAGAGTAACAAGCGGGATGGATGATTTAGATAGACAAGGCAAACAGTTAGACAGAAGATTCCAGACCAAAGTAGACAAGATATAGACAACACACACACACGCACAATGCATATAAATCGGTAGTAAGACGGTTTGAAAACAGACAGAGGAAAAGGCAGAGGAACAGCGAACAAAGTGTACAAACAAGCAGCGGAGAAGAGTGTGGAATAAGTAAAGAGGTACAGCGATTAGGAGAGAAGCTTAGTAGAGAAAGAAAACGAGTAAAAACACAAAGAACAAAAGAGAAAACTGATCTACACACATATCATCCATAAAATATCACCCCTCTCCGTAATCATGTTCGTCATGCTCCTGTCCCAGACGTAGACGCTCTCCCCCTCTTCCTTGTCGTTCTTTTCGCAGGAGGAGGTTGCGATCCAGGATCCACGCCTCCAACCCCACCTCCTGACCCAGTTCCCGCGGCACTCGAACCACCTGCATTATTCCCCCCACCACCTGCACCTGAAGCGCTGGAACCCCCGGCGGTACTATCCGACGAAGCTTGTTTCCGCTTCAAGGAAGCAGGCGCCATGGCGGGCGTGGTATGTGTTGAGCTGGGGTTGGAACGGTTTGTTGTGGAGGTAGAAGCAGTGGCGTTGGGATTGGCAGTGTTAGTAAGATTAGCTGTTGCTATAGATGATGATGATAATAATGACGGATTAGGGTTGGCGGAGGATGAGGACGAAGAGGCTATCACATTCGATGTTGATAATGATGTTGTGGATGGCCCACCACCTGCCGACGACGACGACGAAACATTTGCGGGTGAGGTCCCACCGCCGACACCTTGCTGCGACTGCGGTATACTTTTATGTGGCTTCCTCGGTGAGTTTAGTGCCGACATCCCTGACGGAGATGAGTTTTGGCTGTTTTGGGCCCCGCGGCTTTGCGGTGAGGAACCAGAGTTGTTGTTGGAAGCAGATGGGGTTGGGTGGTTAGATGATAACGACGATGAGTTGGGATTTGCTAAATTAGAGGGGTTGGTGACAGAGGGGGGAGCGCTAGAGTACAGAGTGGTCATGCTCATCGAGGGACTACCTACGCCGTTGACGGAGGACATCGCGTTGGGCCCTGGACCGGTGAAGAAGAATAAACCTGAGCCTGAGCCTGGACCTAGAAAGCCATACGTACCTGAGGAGGACGATGGGGATGGGTGATTGTTATTAAGATTGTTTGGATTGCTAGGGTTGTTGGAATTATTAAAATTCAGCCCAGGTCCGCTAACACCATTGATCAACGGCTGTTGAGGCAAAGGCATCGACTCCCGTATTTTTCCTGCCATTTTCGACAGAGCATCTGTATTTTAAGAAGAGATAAAACCATCCAAAACATTAGCTCAATTCCAAAAAGCCAACAGATGTCAACACACAAGGAGAAAACAAAGACACTTACCCAGCGGTCCTAACCCCTCCTCCTTCGAGAACACGATCAAATCACTCATCTGTGCGACGCTTTCCGCAAGTTCAAGACACCGCATCGTAGCCTGCGGAATCCCGAATGCGTTTACCGGTTCACCAGGTATGAAGCCTTGTGATATGAGCACT